ATTATCTGCTTGTTGTATCAAATTTTATTAAAATTACATACTGAAGAATGTTAACAACAATTTTTTTTAACACTTATTTTTGTTGATTAAAAATTATATGAAAACCAAAAAATTATAAGAATCATTAAATAAGATGTGAGATTGATCAAATTTTGTATTTTTTGATAAATTTTGACTTCTTGACAAAAGGAAATGTGTTTAAAACTTGGGATAGAGAATATGTTATTATAATCATGAAATAATTACCTAAAGAGCAAGGCAAAAATTAGTATGCCCCCACGAATAAAACTGGCAAGATTCAATCACAAATATATATTGCACGTTAAGAGACTGTTAAACTCATTGAATTAGGTCCACTTTTTACTTTTTAGATGATTTTACTGTATTTGGATCCAGAGAAGAACAGCATATGTGAGGTTGGTTGGCCATGTTGGGAAGTTCTGGTTACAGGTTTCGGCCAATTAATTCATCAGAATGCTTAATTAACAAAATTCAAGACCACTTCCACGGTTTCTTGGATTTCCTGCTTTGTTTGGCTTGGCATAAATTTCAACACTATTATGTGAAAAATATAAAAAGAGTTGTTAAGAAGAACTAGTTTGGTAAGCTTCTATATATGTTGGCTGTCCTATTAGAAGAAAAATGAGGAGCCACATGCGTTTCCGTTTACACGGTACGTAGTGAGGTACAACAAAAAGCTTAGATAGATATTATTGAAGCCATGAAATGTGTACTTTTAAAATAATTTAATTAGAATGAAGTCAATACTCAGAAAAAAATTTTATAAGAAAAACTTGTCAACCGTAGCTGTAGCAACAACAATGCCGGCAATGGTTGTGCCATGAAAATAATAGTGACAATCATTAACAGTGATTATAATACTACAAGAAAATTATTATGTAGTGACACATTTATAATGACACAATAAGTATCAATAAAAAGTACTTTTACCCACACACTAAAAACAGTATATGTTAGTATAATGTTAAAAAATATTGGTATAGATTATAGAGATACACAATATATATATTGTTAAATCATATTTAAAATCAATATTTAAATTGTGCATAACTATATGTCAAATAGATATATACATACATATATTGTACTTCTAGTAATATTTTTTGTATGTCACTGTGTATGTAACATTTTTTGTAATGTAATTGATAATGTTAATAATTGTGATTGTCATATAAGTGTTGGTAATGGTTGTTGTCACATCATTAGAATCATTATCCTTATTATCATTATTGGCACATGGCAAGGATGATTGTAATGATAATGAAAGTAGGGATAATAATATTGATAGTAATGATGATAATACTAGAGAAAATAATGGTTAATTGTAGTGATAGTGAGAATAGTTATGATGGTGATAACAATGATAATAGTAGTAACAATGACAATGATAATGATTATTATTGCTTTTCTCATCCTACTACCACCAATGTCATCATTCCTATAGTTGTTTCTACCATGTGACTATAACAACAACGAATAGTGATGATGATACATAGTGGTGATTGTAGAGATGATGGCTATCATGTGATGGATGATAGTTGTGGTGGCAATAGTGATGGTGGTTATCATTTTTGTTACAATCATTGCTTCCACATTATCACTATCATGATAGCAAGTAAGTAATAATTTTGGTGACGATAAAGCAAAATCAACGATAATTGTGGTGGTAGTGATAATGGTGATTATAATGTAGCAACATCAGTTTTGACGGTGAGAGCAGTGACAATAGTGATAATAATGGTAAAACATGTGAGGGTTGTTCTCCACTTATATATTCATTAATTGTATTATTTCTAGTCGATGTAGAACAATTTTTTTTTCCAATACACCCCTTCATGTCCAACATTATTGGGCTTGATATATAGATAAATGGTGGGTGACCCTTTTTAATGATTTATGATAACTCTGATACCATCTTAAAACAGTAAATTTGAGTATAACTCAACCCTATAAAATCGACTTGTAAAGTGATAGTTATTCTCTACTTATATACTCATTAATTGTCTTATTACTAGTAGATGTGAGACTTGAATTTTTTTTCAATAGTTATCATGACAACAATGATATTAACGATAATGACAATAATAATAATAACAATTTTCCTTCATCCTATCACCATCAATGCCACCACTTCGACCATTATCATTGCCATGTGGTGATAACTAGGAGTGGTTGTAATCATAATATTGATAACCGTCATGAGAATGAGTTAGTAATTGTAAATATTACTTAAATTGAAAACTCAATCCAACCCATTAATTTTAATTCGGTAACTATTACTTAATCATCTCTAAATATTTAGAGTATAAGTATTTTAGTATGTATAATATATAAATAAAATATTTATTTTATATATTATACATACTAAAATACTTATACTCTAAATATTTTTGTTACATAAGTATTTTTATAACATATGGTTGAAATATGTTATACAGACAAAAACTTTTGTGAAAATAATTTTGTTAGAAAAATTATTTTTCTTAGAAAATACTTTTTTATGTTCAACTCTTTCTACAAAATACTACCTCTAATATTATAAGACTCTCTCAACTAAATTTCACTCTTTAAAAAATTAGTTAATTTATTTAAGAGTAATAAATTTATCAATAATTTAAATTATTTTTTAAAATTACCTTTTAACATCTCTTAAATTAACTTTCTCTTTTTTTTTTTTTCTTAATCATTTCCCATCCAATAAACGAATGTTAAAGATATTTCTAAAAATATAATTAATATAACTAAAAATTAAAAGATTGTCTTATATAAAGAGAAAAAAGAATAAAAATGATCGACAAAATAAACGTGTTAGCATCCGTCAGAGTGTTTCTTTAACTTATGTTTCTCAACAGACAAATACTACAGTGATTATAAATTATATCTTTACAACAATATAAATAAGAAAAAATAGTACTTCAAGGACGAAAAGTAATAATAATAATATAATATTTATAAAGTACAAATAGCAAATCGAGGTGATTTTTATTTATGATAAATTTTCTTTCCATTTATGTTTTTTTAGTGTTCAAGAAACCAAGATTTATTTTATATGGTAGCTAGGGACAAATTTCATATACTTTTTCCAAATCCTGTATCAATTGGATGAACTTATCCTAAAGATTTATTTTTAAATAGTGCCAGTTGGTGAAGTTAAAGTCAAAGAAAGCCAAACTTCAATAAAATAAAAATTAGAATATATTATTGCGATTAGCGTTTACAAATGGCCTATGGTAGACCATAAATTGTGATTTCCTAGGAAATTGTTTAGGTTTTCAATTTATTTTTCTCGTTAAACTTTATTTCTTTTTCGATTTTAGAATGACTTATTTATAATAATATATAAAAATAATACATTCTTTTTGTGTACATATATTTTTAAGATTTTTTTACCCTTATATACTTTTTATCCAGTCACCCTCACATTATTTAAGTAACAGATCACTTTATCAAAATTATTTATCATTTTTGTCTTTTAACAAATACACGAAATGTCTTTTTTCTTATTAATATACCTTAATAAAAGAAAAGTACGATCGTAACATACATAATAAAATGTTATAAATCTTATGTTTTACCAACCATTCAGAAAGAAAAGATTTATGTTTTACCAACAAATCAATTTTTTTAAAGTAAAAATTCAAAAATTTAAATTTTGTGCATGAAAAATGTGGTTGAAAAACAAGATTTCATTAAAAAAATTAATAAATTTTTTAACAAAATTAATCATTTGATGATACCGATAAATATTTTTGTACCAATAATATAATAATAAAATAATAATAATATCTCATGTTTTGAACCTATTGATGTATTGTAATTTGTAATTTCAATTAATGAAAAAAATAAAAGAATATATACAATAAATATGATGGAATGTTTTAACATTTGTTTTGCGTTATATTTTTTCCTTTCTTTCAATGGCGGAATTTGGATAGAAAATTTGAAGTTGTCAAATTAATTTTTTTATATATAAATTAAATTTGTTTATTAATTACAAAAATAATAAAATTTCTTATTTTTCTTATTTAATTTTATTATAATTAATAATATGATAATATATAAATAATATATATATATAAGAGTATATATAAAAAGAAAGTTTAAATATGTTTTTAGTCTCTCAAATTTAAGATAAATTTATTTTTAATCCCTCAAATTTAAAATTGTTGTTTTTAGTCCCTGTAATTTTTAAAAATCTTATTTTAATTCCTCAGATCACTAATAACATATTTAAAAGTAACGAATTAAGACGATTATGCAATATCAATTGGATTTAATGTGATATTTTCACTAATAGAAACATCAATAGATAAATTTTATACAATAAAATTTGAATATAAATGTCTTAACAAAATATGAATATAATAATATATTTTTTCCTTTCTTTCAATGGCAGAATTTGGATAGAAAATTTGAAGTTGTCAAATTAATTTTTTTTTACATATGAATTAAATTTGTTTATTAATTACAAAAATAATAGAATTTTTTATTTTTCTTATTTAATTTTATTATAATTAATAATATGATAATATAGAAATAATATATATATATATATAAGAGTATATATAAAAAAGAAGGTTTAAATATGTTTTTAGTCTTTCAAATTTAAGATAAATTTGTTTTTAGTCCCTCAAATTTAAAATTATTGTTTTTAGTCCTTGTAATTTTTAAAAATCTTATTTTAATCTCTCAGATCACTAATAACATATTTGAAGTAACAAATTAAGACAATTATACAATATTAATTAGATTTAATGTGATATTTTCACTAATAAAAATACCAATAAGTAAATTTTATACAATAATATTTAATAAATTTCTTAATAAAATTTGAATATAAGAATTAAAATAATATTTTTAAAATTAAAGAGACTAAAAATATTAACTTTAAATTTGAGAAACTAAAAATAAATTTATCCTAAATTTAATAAATTAAAATTATATTTAAATAAAAAAAGAATTTAGAAAAGTTTGAAGGAGTTGTGACTAGTGATAACGAAGTTCGGCCCCTGCTTTCTTTCCTCCTCCATCATATTATTGTTGATGACTTTGTCTTGATTTGCTATGCTTTGATTGACATGGATATTCAGCAAATAATATTAGAAGCAGAGCATCGATGGCTACGTCCGGTTGAAATTTGTGAAATTTTCAGCAATCGTAACAAGTTTCTACTTGCTCCAGAACCTGCATATATGCCACCAAGTATGATTCTCTCTCTTATATCAAGTTCTCCAAAATGATTTGTAAACTTGTTTTAATTTTCTATTTGAAGGGGGAAAGTGGAGACTTTGGATTTTAACCAATTTGAAGAAACTTCACACGATTATGCCCCGTATCTAATTGCAAAATGCTCATCATCTGGTTTTATCGTATTTTTTCTTCACATTAGGTGGTTCACTTTTCCTGTTTGATCGGATGGTGGTGAGATTCTTCAGAAAGGATGGCCATAACTGGAGGAAGAAAAAAGATGCAAGAACAGTCAGAGAAGTTCACGAGACACTAAAGGTAAATACACTGCATCTAAACTCAAAGTCTTGAGCATGTTACAATCCATCTACTTATTGGAAAACATTACTTATATGATGCTTTTAAGATTGAATTTCATTTCAATCCACTTGATATTAAATGAAACGGTAAATTTATTGATAATCGTTGAGATAAGTTTTATTTAAAAAAAAAAAAAAAAAAATTTGGATCTATATATGTCAAACTTACAAAAGGACCTTTAAAATGAGATCCCCACACATGACACATCTAGCTTAGCAGTAAAATGAAAAACAAAAGTTCTGTCAGTAAGCTTTTAGTTACCATCATTGAAGTAAATTCTGCTTTAGGAAGTAAAATGTTATGAGAAAGTTGTTATTCTTTATAAACTTTTGCATTTCAGGTTGGAAATGTCGATGTGTTGAGCTGCTACTGTGCCCATGGAGAAGAAAATGATAATTTTCAAAGACGCACGTATTGGATGCTTAAAGAGTAAGTGTTTCTGTTTAAAGTTTTCAAAGTTCAGTATAAAAATTCCCCTTTTTTGTTTAATGTTCTATCTTCATTAGCCTGATTCTTCTCACCTCTTGCTCCAAACTTTCTGCCTTCCCTTGTTCTTCATCAGAGAGGGAATATCTTCTATTTAATGTGTTTGGTCTTGCTTAAGGATGGTATGGTTTAACAGAGGACTAATAAGATAGATCTTGCAAATGTTGATTTACATTACATTGTATTGGTTTAAATTAATCATAATATGCTTCTATAAATTGCTGATTTGTTATATATATAGTTCTTAAATGTGGAAAGGGGCTCCTCTTCTCACCCTTTTTATTCAACATTGTTGCAGAGAACTCTCTCATATTGTTCTCCTCCATTATCTGCAAGTGAAGGTAGCAAACCATTCTTTAAATTACTTTTTATTGTAGAAACAGTGCAGGAGGCGCCACTAATACTGGCGTCTTGCTACGGATCTCATGTGGCTGGAACTATTAATTCTACACTTTCAGTAATATATATAATTTTATTTTGATAAATAATTTTTATTTTTTATTTTTTAGGTCGAAAAGCAGCTGATGGCTGGTTCCAGCAACAATCCAACTTCTGGATATTTCAGAAGTGAGATATCGCAGAATGGGATAGATTTCTACAATAGGTCATATACATCCCCTTCCATCTATTTATCTATATATTCTCTTTTTCACCAATCAATATGTACGCTACTGGTTTTCTTACTGAGACATGCTTTTACTGTTATAAGTGTAATAGAGGATATGATGGAATAGGAAAGGAGAAAAATAACAAATGTGTTTGAAAACTAACATCAGACACAACTAATAATGTAATAATGATTTATATCTCTTAATTTCTTAATTAAGTTATTTAGAGTTTATCTCTTAATTTTAAGTATGAAATAAACTCTGTTCAAAGAGAAATTCTTATAATCTCTAACAGGGATTATTCACTACATCTAACGGTGAAAATTTCGTACTATTATCAGGATTGTAAAGAAAAGCTATATATGTGTTTGAAAAAATTGTGTTTAAAAATCATCACTCTTATCCTTTTTATGGTTAGCACAACAAACCCTTCATGTGTGACAATTCTTATAAAAGAAATTGAAAATTCGACGTTATATATATGTTGGGCTTGTTGGTATTGATATATGTTTAATATTAATGAAACTAATAATCCTTTTTGTTGATTTTAATTAGTTTTGGATCAGATCCAAGTGGGTTGCTTATACTTTTTCACAGATGCATTTTACAGAATCTAGATATCTTATAGTATGTAATCTTCTATGGAGTACATTAAAGGATGACATGCATGCTGCATATTCCAGAATAGTTGTTGCATTATTAGCTTCAGTTCTGACTAATTAACGATCATGAATACAGACTATTACATGAAGATGATACTCTTTTACAACCCGTATCAATAACATAATACGTGTTTGAAAAAGATTAAATTCAGAGAAATGATCGCATTTTTTTTTTTTGGGGTAAAATCTCTGGCTTTAGAACCACTTTTTCGATATTTTTATATTTAATCTATAACACATGATCACAGGAATGATGAAAGATTGTATGAAGGATTAGATAATGAAAGCCTGAATTGGGAGGAGGTACTTAGCTATTATGAGCAATTCCATGATCATAGGAATGATGAAAGATTGCATGAAGGATCATATAATGAGATGCAGAATTGGGAGAATGATAGCTCATATAAGCAATTTCGAGGAAAACAGAAGATAAGTGATTCTGAATGTTCATGGTCCTTGTTAACTCTAAGTTCTGATGGAGACACAGATATAACATTGTCAAATTCACACGATTATTCTGGTTGCTCATAAATTTATCATATATAGTTTCGGTTAATAACTATAATAAGTTGATGCATTTTGATTTTTGATTTCTATATTCGGTGCGAATATACCACGTTGAGGTGTACTTATAATAACTGTGGTACAGGGATTTACTTTAGTCAAATCCTTAGCTATGTTTGGGTATAATGAAAATGTGACATGGAATTGGCCTAGCCTTAGTCAGTTCGTAATAAAACCCAATTCCACCACCACAACACATGCAGACTGTTTGGATATCTGTTTCAAAACATGAAAATGTATTTTTTTTTTTTATGCATGAAATCTAAACACAACAACATTATTATTTTGAAATAAAAGTAGATTGAGTTCATCTCAACTTTAATTCAAACACACACTTATTCACCTAATAGGAATACTTAATAAACCCCTCCTCCTCCTCCGCATCCATGAATCTACCCAAGATCCAATTCATTTTTGTTCTCTACTAACTTCTATTTTTCATCACTTCTCCAAAGAAAACTTGAGCCAACTAGGATTATTATGAGTAGCATAACCCTCTAATCAAGTAGTTAACGTAGTTACATATTCGATTTTTAAACAAAAGAATATTAATTGTGGATGAAATAATTTTGTATCAATTAATCTATCCACGTACGTGTTCAGCTTAATTAAACTTTTTGAAAAAATTAAATTTTGTTTAACTTGTCTTTTTTAGTTGGTGGAAATTATAAACTACGTGTTTTAATTTTAGACGAGGGATTTTAAAATTCAACATCTCATTGTTTCATTTTTTTTTTTTAAAGATTGCCGACATGATTTATATAATATTTCAAAACTAGTAAGTTTGTGGAGCGTGTGATTTTAATTGACCAAATATCTTTTTAACACAGATAAAAATTAAATTGGGAAACACCAGGTTGACCTCTCTTATCCAGGATCGATCTCATAACCACTAAGTCAAGAATTCAACTAACATTTTATTGTTTCTTAAATTTACTTTTCATGCAATTTTCATTCTATTTATATTTTTTTTATTTAAATATTAATTTGAATCTCGTAATTTTCATATAAGTAAGTTTAATAAACAAATTTTATGTCTTGAATCAATAAAAAAAATAATTTAAAATTGTTTTAAATTTGAAAATAATCATTACTTGAGAAGAACCAAAGTGATATATATTAAATTATAAAAAATCAGAATAAATATTTTGAAAGATAGATAATCAAAATAAATTAAAAATAAAGGATAAAAATATAATTTAACAAACTTTATATCTAACCATACCTAAAATACTTGGTTGACATAATTATTATCTTGGCTTAATTGTGTTTTTTATCTTCAAGTATTGTAATTGTGCAATTTTGATCCTAATGTTTTAATTGGATAATTTTAGTCTTTAAAGAATTTGTAAATATGTGATTTTGATCTTTTAATTTTTAATTGAACAAATTTTAGTCTTTCAAATATCATAATTATGTGATTTTAGTCTCTCCCATTAAAAATTTAATAATTTTAATATGTAGATATATATAATGTTTTAAAATTATACAATTATTTAAGTTAACATATATTATAATTTTTGTTAATGTATCAAGTGATATATATATATATATATATAATTACTAAATAAATAAAATTTATATATTATTGGTATTATAATATTACTGATAAATTATAATATTTTTAGTATTGATAAAATAATAATTTAATAAATATAACTTAGTATATATTAATATACTTTTACAAAAATATAAATATATTAGATAAGATATGTATAATAGAAGAAATTTAATTAGAAATATACATATCTTATCTAATATATTTTTATGTTTGTAAAAGTATATTAATATATATTAAGTTATATATTTCAAATTATTAATTTGTCTATAAATATATTATTGATATTATTGATATTAATTTATCAATAATAATATAATACTAATAATATATAAATTTTATTTATTTAAGAATAACAAATATATATTATTTTAAAATTACATAATTATAATACTTGAAAGATAAAAATATAATTAAATATATTATTTTAAACTAAATTATTCATCATTTTAATTTTAATCTTAAATATAAAATAAATTATATCGGAAAAAAAATACACACACCTTGTATATATTTGAGATTTTCAACAGAAATTTTTTATCATAAATATTTTGTACTCTCAGTGTTAAAAAATAAAAAAAATAAAAATTACATGTGAGGCCACGAATAGTGATGACTGACATGAGTACACTAATTGTCTCGGGTATTGTATTATTTATCGGCGGTTTTGAACGACGCAAAATGCCACGTTTCTTTGGATAAAGTTTTCTTTACGCGTCAGGCATGAGAAGCAAAGTTGTTTAGCCACCCAACTTTATTACAAAATAAAATAAGGCTAATGGTTTCTCACTTTCCTTCAAACAATTTAATATAACACAATCAATAAAATAGTCCACATGTCAGAGAAATTATTGAATTGTCGAAGGTTACGCCGAAATTGTTTAGTACAATTTTATATTTTGTAAAGATGTTGATGAAGATGCTGATTTATATTTTATAATTTATTAATTTGGAAGATTCTAACATCATGCAGGAGGACATGTTGTATATGGGTAAGTACCGATTTAAAGTATGTGGTATATTCCATCATCTACAATGATTAGTTTAGTCTAATAATTAAGTGGAAAAAGATTTGTATAATTAAAATATGAGGATTTAAATTTAATCCTTGTTGCAATCACATCTTTTTATCATTTATAACGGTTAGATACATATTTCAGTATTTATGTAAAATTTAGTTAAAAAATTTAATTTAGTAATCTCTACGATGAAGTTGTGAATGTTGAAGGTTATATTTGTAATTACAAACATAAATATTTACATAAAATAAAATTTAAATATTTATCAAAAATAAATGTAGAAGATATTAAATAATAAAAAGTATTATTATCCTTTTCTACTGTGAGACACTTAACAACATACTTCATTATAGGAGTACTCAATTTGAAATAGATTTTTTTTTATTTATAGAAATTCTTGTGAAAGTTTTGTATAAAAAAGAAACTTTTATAACGTAAGATAAAATATTTCATGAACTAGGTGAAAACAATTTTGTTTGAAAATTTAAATTTCATAAAAAACCTTCTTCACAATAAACTCTTTCTACAAAATACACGCAATAATTAAATCACTAAATATTTGTATTTAATGTTATTACATACTTAAAATTAAATTCAAGACTAATGATTAAAATGTAGCTATGTATGCCATTTGATAACAAGTGGGTGAAATTTTTTTGGGTTAAATTTTTTTTTTTACAGGGAAAAAAAAGATTTTTCAGACAGAATGAATATGGCCAGGCCAAATCACATATATTTTTTTTTAACTTTTTAGATATGGAAGCAAGTGGGTGAACTTTTCCTAAAAGTTTACATTAAAATGGTGCAAGTTGAAAAAGTTACTTGAAATAAAGAAAAAGAAAGGGAAATTTAAAATAAAAAATAGAATATATTAGCGTTTACCAATGGTCTACGCAGGATTTGGCAGGAAATTGTTTAGGTTTTCTTTTTTCAAGAGTAAAGAAAACAAAAGCAGCAAAGAGAAAAAAAACTATAGCCATGCAAAAGAGACACCAAAATACACTGGTTTCACGGTAAATTTATTTATTTTTGAGAATTTCTGTGATACCTTTAATTATTGAGGGATTTTGATATTATAATTGATGTGTATGTACATATCATTATTTAAATGCCATGTCGTATTATTTTTATAAAAAATAATTAAAAACAAAATTTGCACAATTTAATGGAGTGAGAGCGGTACTCCATTTGTAAAATTGCAATTTTTAACTATTTTTTGTCGTAGCTCAAATTCAAGAGAGTGAGGGTAGTTCCACACTACAAAATCCGTAGAGATTTATGATTGATTCGCATCCGATACAACTCTTGACGTCTCAACAACACAAATCAGAGAAATCGTTTGCAAAAAGCATCGTATGTAGGGTCAAAGAATTGAGTGAAAGGGTTTATGTCATCGTATGAAGGGTCAGAGAATTGGGAGATCCAAATTGATTTGTTTGGTTCCAAAAAGCATGTTGGAGTCTCACGTGGCGTTTTAGCATTTGCAGATGAATATGATAATATAGTCTTTAGGGTAATAAAAGAGTATGGTAATATAGTCTGATAAAATGCTTGAACTCTCGCAACTGAACCTAGCACATGAGAGATAACAGAAAAAAGAGTGAAAAATCGGGAAGTGAAGTGAGCCTGAGAGATATATAAATAAAAGAAAAAGAAAAACATGAAGTTTAGTTATAAAAACTTAAAAATTGACGTAAATTTTAAATAATGACATATAGATACACATCGGTTATAATATTAAAACCCTTTCTTTAATTGAGGGTTTAGTAGTAATGTACTTTATTTTTAAGATTAAATTTGTTTTTATTATTTTAAATGATTTAGTTTAATTTTTATTTTTTAGAATTTACATTAGATATTAATAAAATTGGATAAAAAGATTATATTTAATACCATTTAAAAATTAACATCATTAGTATCAATTTAGACATAAGGATAACATTAAACATTTTTTAAAAATTAAAGGATTAAATTAAGTTTTTTAAAAATAGTAAGATTAAATTGAATCCTAAAAGTAAATAGAGGGATTAAAAATATAATTTAATCTTTTAAATATATCGGCTTAATTGTGTTTTTATACTTATATAATTTCACAAATTTTGTTTTTTAATTTTTAAAATTGTGTATTTTGTTACTTTATTTTCAAAAAATTTCATATGTTGTCATTCCATTGATTAATCACATGAGTCATTAATTGATCGATGATATGATACAATGATTATTATCGTGACATGTTAACCATTAACATGTTACATTAATGGTTAAATTGTCTATGTAACATAAGATGATAACATGATATATTGTGTCATGTTAGTAGTCAGACACATTAACAATTGATGTGTTATGTTAATGATTAACTAAGTCAACTACCAAATGATAAAATGTACAAATTTTTAAAATTGAGTGATAAAATATACAATTTAAAAAATTAGGTGGAAAAAATAAAAAAAAAATGAAATATGAGTAGAAAAAAGTACAATTAAGTATAATATTTTTTAAGCGCCAACATATTTTATTTTCTTAAATTTAAAGAAACATTGAAAATGTGAACCATGAACATATGTTGCCTTAGTTCAACCAATGATTTTGAGTCAAATCCGACTCCTGATAAATGTTTTAAATATCATAATCATACTTGTTAAAAAAAGTATTTCTCAAAAGTTTTCGATCCTCGCCCCCTCGATCCTTTGTTATCTGTCTTTGATCTTTGTACTTGTAAATGATGGTTGTACATGTAAAAACCACTTCAATGTCAAAGTTAGCGGGTACTTGAAGTATATAGGTCTAATCTTTAGAGTGAATGTATTCTTTGAAGGTGAAAAACAAGTATATATTGATGAGAAAATGTTATCATTAATGGATAAGATATTCAGGTACATCCAAAACATTTTATTGTTATGTAACAGTTAAACATTACCTTTTGTCATCATGAAAGAATGGTTTGACAAGCCAAGTACTACTCGACCTATGGGAATGCTCTATTCGATTTAGATGAACATCATCCAAACCCTTACCATGTAGTTGCAATTATATCTTTGATGTGTGGTCCATAATAGGTAAGTCTTCGGGGCATGGGAGCCTAGAACCTATCCAATACAATAATAATAATTTTATCCAGCTCGAATAAACTTGTTTGGAAGGAAAATGTATATGTTGTATATAAGAAGCCACCAGGTCCCACCAAACACCTGCGTCAAAGAGCTTTGTATTTGTAAACGACTTGACTCAAGCATTCTTTAGCAGCATACATCCATGTCTACTTACAATAGCCCTATTGCATCAGAACCTTCTGTATCACAACCAAATGCTGCATTAAAGTCTGAGCAATCAACACCTGCTCTTACTCTTCCCATTCATCACCATCCAAACTTGTTTCCAACTTGTCAGCCCAAATCTCATTCTGGTTATGCTAGAAGTGGCATTAAAGTAAGTCCCTTTAATATCATATTTTAACTATATTACAGCAACAACTTAATTTAATCCAGTGCCTTTTATTTTAGGTTTACAAGAAGGGGATACCAATTGCTAGGTCAGTGAACCTTGCACAATTACGTGGTTACGATGATTTGATTCATAAATTGGATCAGTTATTTGAATTTGGAGGTCAATTGATTTCTTCACAAAAGAATTGGTTTATTGCCTACACTGATTATGAAGAAGATATAATACTTGTTGGTGATGATCCATGGGAGTAAGGACATCTAATTATACATCTTTCATTTTCCTCTTATCATTAGCTTAATTTGTTAATTCTATATGTAAATCAGGGAATTTGTTGTAATGGCCCGTAAAATTTATATCTACACCAAAGACGACGACATTCAGGAAATGAGGTAAGCTCAAAGGATAGATGGGAGAGATTGCTACAATAGATCATATATTATAATCATCATCTTCCATCTCTGTATCTATGTATTCTCTTTCTCACCAATCTATATATATGTTTTTCTTATTGTGAGACATGCTTTTGTGGAAGTACGGACACATAGCGTGTTATTTTCTTACAAGTGTGAAAATAACTATTATGAAGAGAAGTTGAAATTTTGACATTATAATTAAGTATGTTGGACTTGTTGATTTTAGTCAGTTTTGGTTCAGATGCAAGTAATTTTCACATATGCATTGCATTGAAATTAGATGTTATAGTATGTGATTTTAAATATGCTTTTTATTCTTGCAAATTAGTAAGTTTTGATTTTAGTTTTTGTAAAAAAATTCTTTATTTTTCATTTTTCTAAAATTGAAAACATTATTTTTAGTTCCTATTTTTTTATGTGATTATTTTTAATTGTTTTTTATTTATTAAAAGTTTATATAATTGTCTTGAATATTACTCATAACTGTTAATGATTATATGTTGATATTTGACATTTTTTAAAAAATTGTATAAATTATTGAAATTATTATTATTTATCAACCTTAAAATGATCATTAGATACAAAAAATAATGACTTAAAATTTTAAATGAATGTAAATCAAAGAAAAATATATAATAGGGATTAAAATTAAAAACTATTAATTTCTCAATGACAAAAAATGAAGTTTATAAATTTTATAAGGGTAAAAAATAAAAAATAAAAAAATTTCCAAAAATCAAAATCAAATCACATTCATTTTATAAAATTTAATAACATATTTAACTCTATTATGAAATATTCTAGTTAATACATTAAATGATGACATGCATGGGGAAGTCCTAAAATGTTGTTGCATTATGAGCTTTAATTTTGACTTAATTTTTTGGCTTAACGATCATGAATACAAACTGTTGCATGATAATCAATAATACTCTTTTACAACCATTACCAACAACATAGTATGTGTTTTTGTTTCTGTATTTAATTTATTAGTCATGATAACAGGTATGATGAAAGATCAATTAAAAAAATGCAAAAGCAGGAGAATGAAAAGTTTTACAAGCAATTCCATGGTCACATACACAGGAATGATGAAAGATTGCATGAAGGATCAGATAATGAAATGCAGAATCAGAAGAATGACACTTTATGTAAGCAATTTCGAGGAAAACAGCAGATAAGTGATTCAGGATGCTCGTGGTCGTTATTAACTCTAAGTTCTGACAGAGAAACCGATATAACATTGTCAAATTCCCACGATTATTCCGGTCCCTCGTAAATTTATCATGTATAGTTTTCGTTAATAACTATAATAAGTTAATGCATTTTGGTTTTTGATTTCTTCACTCATGAGAACTGAAATTATACTCATGAGAATGAGAGGAAGCATAAAACTATCTTAATATTGGTAATGTACGTAGAGTATTTTAACTATAATGTATCAATAAGAAAACAACATTTTGTTGGCATTTCATCCATTAGATATATTGGAGCTAGAAACTAAATTTTTAACTTTATTCCATGCATTCACTCACACGCCTAATAGGAATACTTAGTAAAACCTCCCATCTATGGATCTACCCAAAACCCAATTTATTTTTGGTTCTCTCTTAACATATATTTTTCATGAGACCACATGAACCGAGTAAGATTATTAATTATGAGCAGCATAATTTTACTGAATAGTTCATGCAGTTGCATACTCAAATGTTTGAATTAACATTTACTACATGTTCAGTAATTTAAACTTCGTTAAAATTAGTTTTTGTTTAAATATATCTTTTTAGTCGATGAAAATTATAAACTATGTGCTTTAATTTTATATTAGGGATTCAACATTCAACATTTGATCATTATATTTAAAAAACTAAAAATAATTAAAACCAAATAGATATTCAGATGGAAAAAAGAGAGCATATTTTTAAACATCAAAAACACATTTCAAAAAATGTTACATATAGTGAGAAGCAAAAAATGTTACTAAAAATATAATATTTGTAGATATAAATCTATTTAACATATAGTTTGTATACTTTTAATGTTGATTTTGAATAAATTCAAAAATATATATTATGTGTCATTATAATCTATACTTATACTTTTTAATAATATATTCACATATATATGATGAAAGATTTTTCACACTTAACAAACGTAATATTTCGTGTAGTAATTTAAGATATGGGATTTGAAGATATTTTATAATTTCCTTTCTAGTTCAATTTGTATAACATTCATATACAAATTTATTGAGCATATAGTCATAGATATGTAAATAAGATAAATTGCAAATGAGGTGTTTAAAAAACTACTGATTCAAGGAGAGTGATTCTTATGCAAGAGAGATTGGGGTCAAATATACTTGCACAACACTTATACTTTCTAATGAACCTTCTAGATGAATTCAAGTTTTCATATTTTTACATCCATATAGTTATTCAAACTGATTCCTCAAATTTGAATCTCTAAGGATTAAACCTTGAACATGATCCCTCAATGATCAAGATTAAATACTTGAATTAAGTATAAGGATGTTAATGGCTAACAACTCCAAGTCTATTCCTAACACGAGTCATTGTTAGGTGAAATGATCCAAATCAAGTTTAGAAAATGTTTTTCAACAAGATTTAAAATTATAGATTAAAAGACGAGTGATCAAGTCGGCTTAAGCATTAAGAACAAAATCACAACACAAATATGATAAGTTGAACATATATATATATATATATATATATATATTAATCATTAATAATTATTAAAATATTTTAACCTAAATTTTTCCCTTTAATTTTGATATATTTGTATTGATATAATATATAAATATTAGAGGAAATTATTGAAGACAAGTTTTATATGTGCAAAATGTAGTAGTTATTAGTAATTCAAACCCAATCCAAGAGAAGTTAGCCACTTATGATGAGGGTTCTAGCTGATACAAGATGAAGAATACAAGAAGAAAGAAGAAGAAAATGGAGAAGCAAAGCCCTTGTTCTCAAAGGATGTCAACCTTCCAAAGCCTCCTTCAAAGCTCCTTTCTTTCTCTTGGATTTTTCTCTTTAGCTCTCGTTCTTTTTCCTTTGGTTCTATCTCTTGTTTGCTAGTTATATGATCCTTAAAAGAAATGAAAAGTTAGAATTTTTAATTTCATCATTGCAACCATGAATCACCGCTACAGCGGTGAGGAGTCCTTCATGGTGAAGAAAGCTCCAACGGCTTGGACATTGATTGAGCGTTGTAGTGTTGAGAGATCCCCTGTTTTTAACTTGTTCCAGATTTTCACCCCTATAACCATGAACCAGCTAGTGCTATAGCCATGAACCTCTGACTTTATTCATTCTTCCCCTATTCTCCATGGCTGCAGCCATGAATGAGCGCTATGGCCATGGATCTCTGACTTGTTACTTTTCTTACACAAAAGAGAGAAAACTTCAATTAAAAATTCACCACATACTATTTAACATGTTCTTTTGAATATTACTAAAATTAAAGGAGAATTATGGTTAAATGTATACAATAACTTCATAAAAGAGTGCTAAATATACAATAGAATCATATATTTCACGCACTCATCAATATATTGTATCTATAATACTGTAAGTAAAATTAGTTTATAGTAACAAATATTATGTCACTATATAGTGACATGATAATTTTTTTGTAGTAACATATTTGGGTGGAAACTTAGACATGATCTTTGTCACTTTTTTTGTAGTGACATATTTGGGTGGGAACTTATACTTGATCTTGTTCTATGATGTTAGGAACTTTAAGCCATTTGTTTTTCTTTTGGTATAGACAGAGGAGCCCCATCAAGGTTGACCCAACATATTTTGAGGTCTAAAGTAAGTTTTGAAGTTGGACCTAGTTTAAAGATGAGACAGAGTGACAAGAAAATCAATAGTCACTCATAAAAAAAGAACTTTTTAGCAAAAAATTACAATACTAGGATCAAATCTCAGTCCTTATAATGCTAAGTTTAGACAATGACCAACAAATCAAAGTTAGTATTGTGACACCCTGTATCCCGCATATCATAACACATATTAATAAAATTTGAATAATATAACATTCTATAATTAAAATATCAAACGTGTTCAGCTAGAGAGTACCACATGCATAACTTAAAATCAGCAATATTTTAAAAAAATTAAAAGCAAAGTCTCCAAAAATAATTTAATAAGTGAACATCCTAATTTAATCCTATCTACGCCCCGATGTCACATGTCCTATCAGAGCAAAGCCAAACTCTGAAGCCTAAGCTTCATCACCTACATTTCCAGCCTCATGCTGATAATCACCTGTATAACAACCAAAGGAAAACAACACAAAAGAAAAGGGAGTGAGAAACATCTCACTCTGGCTCACAGTGTAGAAATACATACCGGATAGCCAAACACAAACAAGACAGATATAGCATAGATATGTTAATAACAATATTTCATCTCACTCATCCAAGACATAAAAATATCAATTTATTATATAACATTTAAAATGCACATGTATGGACTCAGACTACATATTATCATGCATGTGGCGCCAATAAAACATCACATGGCATATTGCCGCTAGCAATATACGAAGAGTAGTCTAAGAGTACATGCCGGGTCACACCCTCTACGCACTCTCACTAGAAGGATATACTACCAAAGTCTCGTCGGGATAACTAAGCCGCACAAGATAATCCCATGCACACAATGGGCGAGACTAGAACTTCCAAACCGAGCTATCCCTAAGGACTAATCCCCAAAACTTTTACACTAGGAGGCCTTCTCTGGCGATGTATTCCATATCGTACCCTTAAAACACTTATGCAAATGATGCATGTCATTCAAGACTCTATGCATTCTCATATCACATTATCATTTTTCATGGTCATTTCACATCATATTTCATTATCACATTTCATATCTCATGTCTCAATCACATTTCACATTATCTCATCATATTCACAAAGCCTCCACAGAGCACTTTAATTTATATAAAAACTCGTTTATTTATAAAATTAAATACATATTTTTACATCTCATCAAACAAGGAATATAACAAAACAATCAGAAATCAAAACAGAAATATTCATATTTTGCCTATTTCTCATAGGGTTTCCCGCAGGAACCCATAGAGCACTCTAAATCATATCAAAACATATTTATTCTCAAAATTTATCACATACTTACACATTACATTCAACAAGGAATACACTAGAGCAATCAAAAATCAAAACAGAAAATATTCATATTTTGCCTATTTCTCATGGGGTTTCCCATAGGAACTCATAGAGCACTCTAAATCATACAATTAATTGTATATAAGAAAAATAATAAGTAAAATAGATACAATTGGGAGAAACCCCTCATACATGAGCATACAAAAAAATACAGCAAACACAGGATTGGGGGTCAATCCCACTACCCAACATATATTCCCACACCCAGAGCAAGATTTCTCACTCTCCCCCTTACCTCGATAAGCAGGAGCTGAATCTTGTTGGTTGCCCCCTCTAGGTTTCCCTTCGTCTTCAGAGAGAAAGGAGGAAAAAGATTAGAAAATGAAGAAATGAACTTTAGAGAATGCAAAACACTCTATTTATAGGCATCAAGTCGTGGCCAGAACGGCCTGTTCCGAATCCGGAACGGCCCGTTCTGAGCCCGTAGAACACGTACAAAAGCCTCTCCAAGAACGGCTCATTCCAAAACCAGAACGTCCCGTTCTAGGGTTTTCGGAACAGCCCGTTTCAAGGTGGAACGGCCCGTTCTGAGTCAATACTTCGTTCTTTTAAAATCACATCCGGAACAGTCCGTTCCCAAAGTGGAACGGCTCGTTCTGGGTTGAAATTTTACCCACGCATGCTTGATTTGGAACGGCCCGTTCCCAAAGTGGAACGACCCATTCCAGAACTATGAAAATCCAGGTTTGCTAATTAATAAATAGCTCGAGTTGGAACGGCCCGTTCCCAAAGTGGAATGGCCCGTTCTGGGGCTATGAAAATCTAGAATTACTAATTAATAAATAAATAAATAGCATATATATATATATATATATATATATATCAAATTGAAATAAAATATCAATACAATTTAAAACATGATTTTCTTCAAATAATAATTATAACAAAATATCATAATTAATAATATTATACAAAATAATTTTCATAAATGATTATTATTAAAAATCTTTAAAAATTCAATCAAATC